TCCGTTCTATTCACTCCATTGTAGATCGATTTTTCTTCGGCTTCCTTTGTGGTTTGGCCCACAGAGAGTTTCCTTTATCGCGGGGCTGGGGAAAAATGTGCCAAGGAAGTGCGAGTATCTATAGGCGGTAGTTTATCTGTCTTTTGTAGGGGAACACAATGCAGTTCCCCACCCCCGGGTTCCCCATTTTCCTCTGTGCATATGTCGCTTGATTGCTCTCCAGGGAGGTTTGCCTTCATAATTGGTACAAATTTTCATTTCGAAGTTGAAAAAGAAAATTTTCCCATGGATTTCCATTCACGGTGCGGAATGCCATTAGCATAGTTTGCTTCAGATTATGCTGATAACTTGACAAATGAATTCTATTCAGAGCGGGCGATCACAATCCTATCCCAATGTGTTTTCCCATTCATTTCGATTATTTGAAAAACAAACAATAATTTAGATCTTTCTAGACGAGTATCAATGTGTCACTCTATTTTATTGGCATTAATTAGTTTAAATATATTCGCAATTCGCGCTATCAATTTGTTTTGATTTTTTGCGCACTTTGCAAAATGCAATTCAATTAATCCATGTACTTTTGTTTACGCTCAAATGCCAAGTTAATGGCTATATAAATGTCGGAATTTTCTATATGCCCCGGTCGTAAATGCTATTGATTAGGCCGCATTATCAAGAGTTTTTAATGGTGAAAATAAAGTGCCAGCCAAAGGGGTCAATCAAGTGTGCCGGAGTGCTGTCGATGGAAATAGTATTTTCCTAATTTATGCCGTCATACATAATTGGGAATTTATTGGATGCGATGTCAACACCACAGCCGTAGAATATTTCAAAATCAATTGAACTGGGATTAGAATTGGAATATTTATACCCTGCTTAATAGTCTCTGAAACGACTTGATAACTTGGCTTGGCGCATTCTCTGTGTGGTCGTTGACTGACCATTAAAAGTTTATGTCTATAGCAACAGTCATTAAGGTTTCTAGTATAATTGGCCGGCGCCAACCTGGACACAGAATATCTTTCGCACAGCCCAATGACAGCTTAACTTCTGTTTTATTTATATATTTATATTTAATAACAAGCCTTCATCTGATTGAAACATTGTGAGCCGGGCTCTTGACACTTATACCTGCTACATCTAAGTATATAACACCTTAGCTCATCGAAATTATCCGCAATTACTGGTATCTCGGTCCGTTTGTTTGGCAAATAATCAACACTGTGTTTATGTTTTTCCACATTTTGTGTTCTTACATTTTTTTCGATCTAGATGTTTGCGTCGCACATTTGCGGCTTGAACTTGGACTTTGTTTGCTTTGCGTGTCCACGATTCATTCAAAAACGGATCTTGCCATGTTGTTGACACTGTTTTTCTAAATGGCAATTGTTTGCCTTTCGCTATACGCTTATTCAAATTTTTAGAATATCCATAGACCCACACCGACCAACTTGGCCATATAACATCGTCGTACGTATTTGCACTGGGCTTTGTATGCACAGCAGATCTGAGATGGGTTTTATTGATATGCACGATTTTGCGACGTGAATGAAGAATGAGTATTATTAGTTGGCACAAAGAAAATTTTCGACTGACGCTTAAGTGTTTTCCAACTTTCAGCTTTGTAGTTGTGGAGAATCTCCGGTATTTGATAGATAGAAGAAAATATCTGCCCAGTCAACCGATCTACTTTGGCTATGAACTCGAGAACATCGTCACGCATGAGGTTAGTTTTATATTTTGGATGTTATATATATTTTAATAAGTTTTATTATGGTTTTATTACCATCCATTTCAGCCGTTTGTCCATGAAAGCAGTGGCTATGTGATCAGTCGCGAGGCCTTGAAGCGATATACAAACGCATCGATGGATCCCGAGGTCAAGGAATGCCTTCATAGGAACGGATATGTTGAAGGACTGGATATACATCGATGTCTGAGCCATGTCAATGTAAAAATAGTCGAAAGTCGGGATGAATCTGAGAACGAGACATTTCTGCCTATTCCAATAAAGCACCAGTTTTTGGAAGGCTACGATAATATAAGTTGGCTTCGAAACTTAACCTATCATAAAGTGCCAGGGGTAATAAATTATTACAAATTTGAATTGATTTCGCTTTAATATTTCTTCTTAATATCTTTATAGAACACAGTTCCAATATCCAAGCGCGCCATCACATTTCGGGTGGGCTATCCGCCTGAAATGTACGATTACTATTATTATGTTTATCGATTGAAAATCTTTGGCAACCCCGTGCAAACTCTATAGAATTCAGACCATAATAAAGGACTCACCTCTGGCAGCTGGCGTTGGTTTTCTTTCCTGATGTTTCAATTACAATAAGACAGAGGATCTTGGTTACTTCCTAGTAAAGCCGAGGTACGCAGAGTAACCCACATATCATGTACTTTATCACATAATTCATTTCACATACGGGAAAAGGGGGAGGATAAACGTGTTCATCAATGAATCTGTCGCCTGGCCTGGAGTCTCATTTTCCCATTGCCCTTTGTCTGTGCAAAAATACTTCCGTTTTTCTTCGATTTTTTCTCTTTATTTGTTGCCCAGCAGCAAAGTGTCATTGTTACATCATGTCTGAGGGAAAGGAAATATCCGCATGCATGCAATATTGCACTTTTCCCTGCTTCCTGTAACCTTAATCATGTGTAGGCCTTGGGTTACCTGTTAGATGCCATAATTCATCTGGTAACTTGAGCACGTAAACTGAGACATCAATATCCCACATAAGCAGAATATCGCTTACGTTTCACAGGTTCCTTGTTTTTTGTTTGACAGTTTCACATGAAATCCACACAGAGTTGCTCACATGTGATTATTGAAATCTATACAAACATTTGTGGGCCTTTTGTTTTCGCAACAACAGAGGCCGGCGATTGAATAATCTTTTCTATATATATGTGACTGTTATTTGTTATTTTGGGCAGCCCAGAAATAGATACGAGTATCTATGCAAATCTGGAAACGTGTTTGATTCGAATCAAAAGTTGTGGGTTCGGATTCCATGAAGAGTGTCATAACATGGCCCAAAGGAGGGCGAAACACGAGTGCCAGATGAGGTGGACAAGTAATCGATACTCCACTTTAAATTTGTGTAGTTTACTCAACATTTTATGAACTGACCAAACCCTTCCCCGAATTTCCGAACCACTCTGGTCGCCGCCCGGCTTTCAAATGCAAAGTTTTGCATCAACTTGAAAGCCATTATCATCAATGAAAGACGATGGCACAACGTCTTCGGTGCCCGAGTCGTCAGGTGGGTTAATAATTCTAATTGAAAAAGGCAATTTGTATGCGGCGGGCAAAGGGAAACCAAAGGCATCGCAGACAGACAAAAGCACTCAATATAATTAAATTGTCGACGGACCACCCAGCGCCAATAATTCCACCACCTGAACCACCGATTCAAGTAATAGTTTGAAAATGCCACGACTGTTCGTTGCACGGCGCCTTTTTCTGGGCGGAAAGAATAGGTTTACACTTTGCAATGCAATATATCTGCTACTCCTGGGCACTTTATCTTTTATGGTGTTGCTGCAAAAATACAGGGACTTTGAAACTGAAGAGGTCGAGCCTGCTGATCCTCCATCTCCTCGGATATTTTGCATAATTTCCACCTATGAATTTCGTCATGAATACGCCGCCATTCACATCCACCGGACTTGGGCCAAGCATTGTGATCACTATCTGTTCGTCAGCGACAATGTTCATCACCATTTGGAACCAGCGGCATTTATGAATCTCTATGACAAGTGGCTCCGAATGAGAGCCCATCTGGAATTCGTCTACAAGAATCACTTTCATCAAGGGGACTGGTTTCTCTACGCCAACGATGATAAGTAATAGAAACGAATTTATTATTATCCCTTATTTATTTTAAGTTTCCCTTTTCAGTTTTGTAGTTGTAGAGAATCTTCGGAAAATGCTAATGTCGTATACTCCCAATGAGCTTATCTATTTCGGATGCAAACTTCGAACTCGCAATGGGCTGGTGAGTTGTTCTTGTATTTTTTCATAACTCCAATAGGGCAAACAAAATATAGCTTATTAAGTTTTATAAAAAATACCTTTTCATTACACAACATCAATCTAATATTTGTGCTCTGGCCGGACTTCAGTGCATAAACTTAAATTTTTAGGAATTTAAAAAATCTAAACTAAATTGGCTGTGAATAAATTTCTGAAATATTTCTACATATTTAGGTCTTCATGTACGAGCGTTCTGGGATTGTCTTCAGTGGAGCTGCCCTCAAACGGTTTACTCTTTCAGCCCTGACCAACGAAAGCATTTGCAGTTCGGTGGCAAAGGGAAATGATTTCACCGAGGAACTGGGTCGTTGTCTCACTAATATCAATGTAATAGCCGGAGACAGTCGAGATGAGTTGCAAGGTCATCGATTCCTGCCCTTTGAGGCAGATCTACACTTGGGAGGTCAAATGAATGAATCCAAAGATGAGCACAAGTACTTTCTGGACCACTCATACTACCCAGTGATTAATGTGAGTTGCTTATAAGGGTTTTTGTACTTATGTCATATTAATATGATTACTTTGCAGATGAACTTGCCAGTTTCACTGCAATCGGTGTGCTATCACATGAATGCCATAATGAACATTTATGACCATTACTACTTTGCATATAAGGTTCGAATTTTTGGTACGCAACTACATTTGCCTTATGAAAATAAGGAAATTGGAAAAAAATTAAATTACATAAATGTACGGAATAGACAGGTGTTAAATGGTTGATTTTATGGTAGGTTCATAGGTATCTAAACATAAAATTAAAATAAATAATTAATAAAAGAATTTAAGATAAGTTTACTTTCTTATGGTATAAAGGTAAATCTTAAAAATAAATGTAAGCAAGCCGGAGCATTAGTTACTTTAAGATTTAATTTCGGCAGGTTTTAAACTTAAGCTTAGGAATAGAATACTAGAATTCCGTCATCTCAGACAAAATCATGGCAAGTTAGAATTGAATTATATATTCCACTTTCTAAGAAAACCTTTAGTGTGTCTTGACATTGTCCCAAAAGTGACTCAATCTTTGGTTATTTTGATATCCGAATTTCCATTGCTGACTGGACTTTTTCGGATCACAGACACTAGCGGTAACACTATTTGTTTTCGGCTGAGCCTCCAGACATTGTCTGAAGTTAGACATCTGGCCTGCAATGACCTGGCGGGTCTTGAAGTCATAGGACCAAAACTGATTTCCACTCTGACCATGGCACTGAAAGATACGAACATCCTTTCCTTGGTTGCGCACCTCCAAGCAGTAGAGTCCGGATCGCAACTCCCGACGATTGGAAAGGATCCAATGCTGCTCTGCTCTCGGAAACACGTGATCTGAACTACAAGGACTTAACTTGGGATGTTCGTGTCGACTTTCGTTGCGATCCAAACATAGTTTCGGTGAGGACACGCTCTGCAGAACTCCAGATGCGTACTCTGCGGGGTCTATTATTGGATACAAGTTCAGGAAATCCTTTGCAAGATTATCCAAAAACCATTTAAAAGGTTTGCAGTGAAGTCGCTTTTTGAGTTCTCGTTGTTCGGCGAGATTTCCAACCGAAAGCACAGTCAAATGTGGCATATTGGCGAAAACCTTGTCCTTAAATTCATCTAACCACACCTCAGCCACACGACGGTAGTTCTGAAAGAAATTTTAAATTTAAACATAATTTTCCCATAGTATTTCGAAAAAAACTTTTACCTTTGCAATAATTTTATTCTCTTTCTTTTTGTCCTTATCGGTATAGCGAATCTGGAACTTGCCATCTCTGTACCGGTGACCAATCCTGGAGCAGGGCACTTCCAGAATCTGTCCCCCGCACAACCACAGCTTAAGGCTCAGCTCGAACTGCTCGCCTCCCCAGATCTTCAGTCCCTTGTCATAGCCACCAAGCTCTGAGAACCACTGACGTCCGATGGCAAAGAGGCCGCCATTCATGATGGGATTCTTATGGGGAGCCGGCATGGCCACCGCCTCCTCCTTGAGGAGTGGCAACTGTATGTAGTTAAATTCCCAGTTAAAGAATCCCCTGGATGGCTTGCCCCTTCTGTACGAAAAGTTCTCGTAATCAATGGTGTCAATAATCGGAGTGGTGCAGGTCCTGTTGTTCTTCAAAATTGGAGCTAGGAGTGGCTCCAACCAGCCCTTGGTGACCTCCACGTGGGAGTCTAGGAATACAAGTACATCGGCCAGGGCAAGTTGAGCGCCCGCGACTCGGGCCTGCATCAGACCCACCTGGGTGGCAATTCTGTGTTGCCTTACCATATTGAGGAACTTAATCTGGATGAAGTCGTTGAGCTTCTCATCCACTGAACTGCTGCCGTCGTCCACCAGGATGATCTCCCGGAGAAGCAGGATCGGTGTCCGATTCCTCAGACTGCTCAGCGTTCGCAGCAGCACACTCGCCTCCTCATTGTGATAAGTTATCACCACACTGACGGAGGGAAGCTTTTCCAGCGAGTACTCGAGCTTTTTGCAGCTGTCGAAAGATCACACTAGTCAGAGGGTCTTATAATCTCACAAGTGATGCTAGCTTGTCGCTTTTTATGGTAAAATAAAAAGTTTATAATTATTTAAGCAAAAAGGTTTTAAAAGAAGACCATTTAACACATATATATCCCTTGGACTTCGATTTTAGTTTTCAATTATTTGTTTTCCAAAAAATATCCATCTTGGTTCATAAATACCAAAAAACACATCTATCTATGTAAAAAGTCGTGACAATCGCACCTTTAACATAAAATAGTTATGATATCAAATTAAAGGAGATTAAATGATGATGATGATGAACATTCGAAAAAACAAATAATCTTTCTTACATTTTATAAAGTGCAATCGTCAATTCTTTTTACCTCATTAAAAGGTAGCACATTTGTATTCTTTCGGGTATATAGTGGTCTCCCGGATATTTGATTTGGTAAATTATAGTAACACTTTTAAATGAGATTCTTTATCTCTCAAGCACCGACATCACTGGACCCCACTCTTATACTGCCACCGATCGCCACTCTGCAAGCTCTCGAAGCTCGTTCTCTTGGAACCCAAACTCACCTGCGATGTCGCATGTCGTAGAGCGTTCGCTCTGGCGAGATGCGCTTCGAGAGCCAGGCGTTGTAACCCGTTTCCCGCTGACTTGTTGCCATGGCCTCCAGTTCCTCCTGGGTCCAGTTGCCCCTCGCCGGACGACCCAAAGCTCCCAGATCCGGGATAACCTCCGACTCGAAAACAGCCTGCAGCTCGCTTATCTCACGCTCCAGACGCGAGGTCGTCGAAGATACGTTTGCATCGCGCTCCCGTTCCAATTTCAGCGTATACAGGTAGTAAATTATACTGCCCGTGGCCATCAGCAGTAGCAGCAACAGCACCTTCTTTTTGTGCCTCAGCATGTCCAGGCACATTGTATCACAGAAACAAACACAGCCCTCCGGAACGGAAAACAAACTTTCGGCTTAAACCGCGCAGCGTTTTGGCCAAGACTGAAGCTGGCCAGCTGAGAGTGTGACGAGAGCGGTCTTCTACGCCAATAATCCCATCTTATACGCTGAGAAAGTTTTCGATTCGGTGGCTCAACGAACCGATCAGGGGCGGGCCGATTTAAATTTCGAGGGCAAGTGAAAGGTTTAAGATTGTCTTAAGATCAAGTAAACACTGTCTTATAAATATATAAAAGAAAACTATGTATTATTAAATCAATTTTAAATTGATGAGATTACAAGATACTTAACTAACATATCTTATGTTTAAATAGGAAAACTTACAATATGAGTTCCCTAACTATTTTTCTAAAACCATATCATATCAATTAGTTTCACCACACCGCATTAACATAGAACTTCAATCATTCCTAAGCATTCTATTTTCAGTCCCTTACTTGTTCAAAATGAAGCCATTACTGTTTGGTACGCCGTACAGCTGTGCGGTCTTCCTTTTTGTATACTGTCTTATTTCTCTTTTTATTTGGTTCATGTATACGGATAACTTATCAAGCGCCATAGTTGATTTTGAGTTCTATACAATTGAAAACTTGGGTGATCACGGAAAAGAGGCCCATTTGCAAATGACGAAAAAGGATTTTGTGAACGCTGAGGAACAGTATGCCAGATATCATTACAATGCTTGGCTCTCCGAAAGAATTCCGCTGAAACGAACTCTAGAAGACTATAGAGACGAGGAGTAAGTAGGCTTAGACTTGTAAAATAGAACCTCCTTAAAAGTGATCCTCTCTAACAGATGTGTAAATATCACCTATTCCTCGGAGAAAAGGGTTACTGTTAGCATTATTATAGCATATCAACTGGAGCATCCCCACACTCTTCTGAGAACCATCTACAGTGTTATAGAGCAAACATCATCTTATGTGGACACAGAGATAATACTGGTTCACGATGGATTTGCCGATAGAGATGTGTTTGCGTACATCTCGCAAAAGCTTCCGGTAGTTATACAGCTGGAAGTCGGAGAATTAAACGGACTCATTCATGCTCGTTTGACTGGAGCTAGAATAGCAGCTGGGGATATTCTCGTATTTCTAAATGCTCACATGGAGGTCACAAGGGGTTGGCTTCCTCCTTTACTGGAACCTATCTTGCTGCATAACCATACCGTCACCGAGCCCATTATGGATGTCATTTCCAGAGAGTCCTTTGCCTACCAGAAACTGACAGAGCCTGAGCAACTGGCATTCAATTGGCAGTTAGAGCACATCGTAATACCCTTGGATCAAATATCCTGGAATAACTTTCCCAAGCCATATGCAACCTCCCAACTGGAGGGACGTGCTTTTGCAATAGATCGCAATTGGTTCTGGCACCTTGGGGGATGGGATGAGGGCCTCCAAGACAATGGGGGCGATGTCCTGGAACTCAGTCTAAAAGTGTGGCAGTGTGGTGGGAGCATCCTCACTGTTCCCTGTTCACGAGTTGGAGTTATCTACAAACGGGATGAGATAGAGGCACAAAAGGCTCCAAATAAAAATCCAAGCCTACAAGTCAGAAAGGTAGGTGAATATTTTAAAAGTATAAAATACCATTATATAGCTTTGAAAGCCGCCGTTGCTTAAATGATATTGTACAAAATTAATCAAAATGTTGATAGGTAGTTTATTTCAAAATTAATTTTTAAATTTTAGAACTTTAAACGGGTTGTTGATGTCTGGTTCGACGAATTTAAGCTCCATTTCTATCGCTACAATCCAAGGTTGGGAAATCTTACGACTGAATCGCTGGATAGGCCGCGAGATCTTCGTCGTCGCCTCAATTGCAAATCCTTCGGATGGTACAGAAGCCAAATCGCGCCGCTTCTGAGGAACCACTTTCTTCATGCCGGACTCCCCAACTACGCGGTCGGTCAAATAATGCCCTTTGTGGCGCCACATTATTGCCTATCTATCAAGGGAAGATTTCCTATCATGAGGAAATGCAATTCTACTAACTTCGAGGACTGGACACTTACGTCTCGCTGCCAACTGAAACTAGGTAAAATGTGTCTGGATGTGGACTCCAAGAACAATGTCAAGGTTTTGAGGTGCACTAGAAAGGTACCGATAAATCCCTGGCAATATAGTTATCAGCACAGGACATTTGTTAGCAATGGAAACAAATGTCTCCAAATTAATGTTACGAAAGTGGGTCTTATGGTGAATACTTGTGACTCTGATCTGACGGAACAACGTTGGATGTTCACTGGAGTGCAGGACTCAACATTAGATCATGTCATGAACGCTTGTTTAAATACAAACCATTAAATTTTTGGAACATAGTCCATCTAATTAATATGTTTTAAGAGTTGCATTCCTAAAAAACACAAACACAAACTTTACATATAATTTTGCGCTTAAGATTGGTTTATTTTATTTCGACTAATTTAGGTTAGTTTAAGATCACCGGATGCCTTGCCGATTCAACACGTGAGCCCAGAAGAAGTGTATCTTCATATCCAAAAGCTTCATCCTAGAAAAGCGCCGGGCTTTGATGGCATTGATAGCAGAATCGCCAAGGCCTTGCCTAAAAAGGGAATCCTGTTCCTTGTTCTCTTGTTTAACTCAATGCTACGTATCCACCACTTTCCCTCTCAATGGAAGTGTGCTGTGATAACGATGATACCAAAACCAGGAAAACCGGAGAACCTTGTTCAGTCTTACCGACCGATAAGCTTGCTACCCACATTCTCTAAAATATTCGAAAGAATATTTCTTAGCAGAATCATGGGAGTAAGAAGCGTGCAGGATGCCATTCCCGACCATCAGTTTGGTTTTAGGCATCATCATGGAACCCCAGAGCAAGCACATCGAGTTGTCCAGCACATTTTAGATGCTTTTGAAAACAAGCAATACAGCTCTGCAATTTTTCTCGATGTTAAGGAAGCTTTCGACCGCGTGTGGCACGATGGCTTACTGTATAAGTTGAAGTCCCTACTCCCGACTAGCCAGTTCCTCTTACTAAAATCATACCTGCTTGACCGAAGTTTCATGGTCGAGGTGAGAGGGGAAAGGTCAACAATCAGAATTGTTCGAGCTGGCGTTCCTCAGGGAAGCGTTCTGGGCCCTGTTTTGTACACTCTGTTCACTTCAGATCTGCCGTGTCCTAACAAGCCGGGCACGATTCTGGCTACATACGCTGACGACACGGCCTTTATTGCGAACGCCTCTTGCCCAATCGAAGCGTCAAGGATTACCCAGGAATTCCTCGACTCTTACGGGAAGTGGACAAATCGGTGGAACATATCCATAAATGGAAGAAAGTCGCAACACTGCAATTTCACCTTGAGAGGAAAGATCCTTCCCAGAGTAGAGCTTCTGGATATCACCATACCACAATCACCCCATGCGCAATATTTGGGTTTGATCCTGGACAAGCGGCTCACCTGGAAGCAGCACACTACCAAAGTAGCAGCTTCATGTAGAGCTAAGCTGAGAAAACTAAACTGGTTACTTAAGCCAACGAGCAAGCTCAGCCTTGGCAACAAAGTCTTGCTGTTCAAAGCAATTGTGGTGCCCTCAATGACGTATTGCATCCAACTGTGGGGCATGGCTTCAGACTCGAACGTCATGAAAGTCCAAAGGGTCCAAAACCGTGCGCTGCGCATGATTGCAGACGCGCCGTGGTACATCAGGAATGACGCCCTAACAAATGACCTTCATGTTCCCTCAGTCAGGGAGCAGATAAACCGGCACTCTAGTCGGTACAATGATCGGCTCACTGCACACGAAAACCACCTAGCAGCTTCCTTGGCCCACCCAAGGACTTGAAGAAGATTAAAGCGAAGGCACCCCGGTGATCTCTGGACAAGAGGACGTCAGGTCTCTCGAGTCCTAAAGCAATAAAATTGTTTTTGTTCATTTATTGTAAATATTGTTAATCACCTTTTCTGTTATGTATCCACGTTATTATTTCTCTTCGTACACAACGTTTTATAGCCATTAGGTTGGCTGATCAACGTTAAATAAAAAAAATTTGTTATACTAAAAAAAAAAAAAAAGTTTAAGATCAAATACAAAGAGAGAACTCGGAACTGTAATGTAAGCATACTTTACAAGTTCGCCATGGTTTTTTAAATATTGTATCTAACTTAAGTAAATTTTTGCTGATTTCTTCCGAAATCTTTTGTCCAGAGGTAGTTTCTGTATAGTTTCAAAAACACAAATAGCTTATGTTTTGTATAATAAATACAAGTTTTAAAAATATGCGATTACTAAATATATTCTTAATTATTTGCTGACTGCATGACGCTTATATTGGTATTTTCGAGTATCCATCTCTGTTTTCTATTCGATTTATCGCAATGAGCCAAAAACATATTGTATTCACCTCCCAATTCCAGACACATCGTATTGCTTACCAGATGGTTGTTAAGTGCATCATAGTGCCAACTTTGCCGACCTTCCAACATGTGGCACAAATCGAAACCCAACTTCAGATTTGGTTGCACTTCGGCGCAAATTTGGTTAACAATTCGGAGATCATTGAGGTAGGTAAGACTCCATATTTGAAGGGTATAATTTGCCTTGCAAGGCTCCACACATATGGTCTTTTTTTCTGAATGAATTGTAAGGCAGCTTTTTGGATATTCCAGAGGTTTTACAAATCCAGAGGCATAATATGAACGATTTGTCGGTGTAATTTTTTCCAGTTCTGGCATGACTTCTTTTATAAACGATTTGATCGATTGACAGTCGTAAGCCTCGAATACTTTATAAGATTTTCTGAGATCGTGCAGTGGAAAGTGTACGAGATCGGGATTGTATTTGTAGAAGATCGACCTCAGATCCGGATCATCTATCCACAATTCCAAAATGCGTTTGAGATTCTGAAACAAATTGTATTATGAGTAAAAGTCTTCCTTTAAATTTTAGCCTCGTACCCATAAAAGTTCTTTGCCCATATAATGAAGACTGCCATAACGCTTTAGGTAGTCCTGATCCTTAGGCTGCAAATGG